CAGAGTGAGTTCTAGGACAACCTCCAAAGCAATACAGAGAAACCCTGTCCCAAAAAAACAAAAACAAAGAAGAGTCTAACCATTGTCCCTCATAGATGTATGTGTGTGTGTGGGGGAAGCATAACTATACCTTCTTTTACTATCTAAATTTACCCATGCCTTATAAAAAAGTTCTTGAACCAAACTTATTTTGGATTATTTTCAATTTTTTTTAAATCTTTATTAAGAAAGAAACAGCCACAGAAAATATTTGGAACTTTACAATTGTAGTTTTCTGTTGTTAATATAAATACAAAAAGACAATTTTTTTTTATTTCAAATAATCTTCTATCAAGCTGTCCTTACTTTTGGAAGCAATAATATTCCCATGACTTTTCTTCACCATTACACATTTATTGCCATTTGTTTGCGCTGAAAAAAACTTTCCTGGTAGCTATGTAAGAATCATGTTCCACAGCTCAAGACCTCAGTGCTGTTTGTATGTCATGCAGTTCAGTTTCTACTTTGATGACTTGCGTCCATGTTGTCAGCTCTTACTTTACTGTCTCAGACACAGCTGTGGCTCCCAGGAGTCCTGACTCCACTTGTTTCTCTTGGACAAGTTTTTTTTCACTAAGCTTCTTCAATACCATATTTTTCTCAAATGGAAAACATAGGTGTTTGTTATTTGTTCTCAGTTCTCACAGCTAAGTGCAAGCCTTGGCTTTCAAAGATAGGATCTTTGAGCAAAGGATTAGTTACACTCCACACTTTTCTGCCTTGTTGCCAGTCTGGTGTGTCTTTCTCCATGCTGTAAGTTTAGACAAAAGCCACAAGAAACCTCGAGTTGAACAGAGGAGATCGTGTCCCCTATGGTGGCCATTGGCCATGAGCTTCTCACCTATCTTCTGGCCTTCTGTTTCTCTTTCTTATTTTTCTGAAATCATGGCTTATGTAGCTCTTCAATCTCCCCTGCCTGTGGGTGCTTTGGCAGGGGAAGAAGAATGGAATCCCTAACTTGGTGGCATCTGCTCACATGTGGTGGTACTGTGGAGTAGTGAAGACGAGAGGCTGTATTAAATAAAAGGGGTGGATGTGTTTGTTTCTAGTTGTCAGCAGACAGCAGCACATCTTCAAATTATGGAGGATGTACTCAGCTTAATCGGATAATGAGTTTCACAAAAAGCTGAAAAATACTTCTAGCCCATTATTAAATGGTGGTTATTACAGATAATTCTCCTGGGCAATCTTCTACATGAGTTATTTAAGCAATAGATTAACTCAGACTTTTGCTTCATTTTTTTTCCTAGTAACATTAAAATGTTATTTCACCTATTTGCTATTTAAGAGCTTTCTGAGTCCCCTGAGCCTGTGTTGCCAGGGAGAAGTACTATATGGTGAATCTGTGAATGGGCCAACACTACCCCATCTATGAGTGTAGAAATAGAAGAAGCCAGAGAACATCAGTTAGATGACCTTTGTGGGTTGTGAGTACCGTTTGACTTTACCGAACTCATTCACTTTTTCACTGAGGTTTGTGCTTTGTTTTGTTCTGACTTTAGAAACGACATAAAGCCGATAACGCCGTGAACAAGAAACAGACACAAGGTAGGACCTTTATGTCTTTTTCCTTGGGTTTCTCAAGTGTGCTTGCTGTCACATCCTCAAATTCCTTACCTAAAGATGATACAAGTTGAGCATACTTCCTTCTTACTTTATTAGCAATTATTAGCATGGTACTGAAAATCACATGAGAGTGATATTTTTTGAAAAAGTCACATTTTAATATATTTACGTACTTCCTAGATATATGCTTCTGAATATATTTTTGAGAGACCTGCAGTTTTTCACCGTGTTAAAAACTATAAAATACCACTACTTTATTTGTGAACAGTGTTGGCTGTAGAAATAAATAATAGAAAATTATCTGAAATCTTGTTACTGGTTTAAAAACCACTTTGAGTTATTCCATACAGGCAGATGAAATTAGCCTCCAAAATAAAGCCTATGGCTAAAACCAGGCCAGCTTCTGAATGTGCATAGTGTTCTCCTCACACTACCTTTTTTGGTGGAGACCAAACCAAAATGAACATCAACAAAGACAAAGAAGCCCGTGTCTCTCATGTTTTTAAAAAGTTCCTAGAACTCGAAAGCAGACATCTTATGCTGTCCCTGAGCTTGCTCCGTGGAGAGACTCCTTTCTCCCTGCATTCTCTGGTAAAGGGAATCCGGTATCTTCCAGCATCTCCTAGTCATTAAGCACAGCATTTACTGCTGCTCCTGTGGGGGGTCCCTATGGTGGGGGTTCTCAACCTGTGGGTTGCAAACCCTTTGGGGGTTGTATATCAGATATCTTGCATATCAGATACCATTACCATTCACAACAGTGACAAAATTGCAGTTGTGAAGTAGCACTGAAGCAATTTTATGATTGGGAGGGTCACCTCAATATGAGGAACTTTGTTAAAGGGTCCCAGCATTGGAAGGTTGAGAACCAGTGCCCTTTGAAAATACACTCCCTCCTTCTCATCACTTTCTATCAAAGGCCTCATCTTCTGGGTATTTTATACATTTGAGGAGGGCATAATTTATGAGCCCTAAAATATTTAGAGTATCTACTGAAATATATTTTGTCATATAAGAAAAGATCAAATGAAAATTTTAGCTTTGAAGAGCTTACAGCCTATTAGTTAAGATAAGTACATGGAATAAAAGAACATGCATAGTACAAGATTAGAGATTTGGGTAGAAGATGAAGGACTGGCTGTGCAGTCTCATGACTGATTAGATTTTTTGTGTATGTGTGTATGGCAAATAGTGTTTTCCATTTCTGATGCCATAGAAACTCCAAAAGAGAGAAAATCCTGGAATTACCTTGAGCTAGGTCTTGAATTTGGGGAAGACGGTGGATGAACAGAGAGAAGCAGGGATGACACTTTGCCCGTGGGTGGAGTGGGAAAGGGGACGAGAAGACAGCCTGAGAAAGAAGAAAGATGGCTGCTGGCTTGCTAGATTGAGCTATTATTAGAGTGTCATGTGTCCAAAAGAGATTCATATCAGAGGGAAACAAACATGCTGTACATGATAGGCTAGTCAAATTTTATGAGCCCTTAAGTGCCAGGCTTTCCTTGTGTGTTCTCTGTAGCTATGGCTAAGGTTTAAGAGTCAAAAAAGAAGCAGCGTGGACATGTAGGGTCAGGATGGAGAGCACAGGAGGGGGTGGGTCTCAGAGCTGCTCCAGGAGTTTTGATGCAATGGGGCAATCATAAGGATGAAAGGGGGGGCATCTAGATGTTTGGGGTGCTATAGTATTTCTGACAATGTGCAGCTCTTGCATTTTTGGTCATGTTTAGAATACTTAATAGAAGCTTTTGGGGTACAACCATGCAAGCACTTTTCTAGAACATAATTGTCACTGGCAGAAAGCTCTAGTTTTCAGTGACCAACTTTAGTCTTTTGCAAACTTTGAAGGACAGCTCTCATAATGGTATGATTTTCGGTGAGCATACCTTGTGCTGGAGGGATGCTGGTTTCTTACACCTCCATTTCCCAAACTGTTCCCTTTGTAAAGAACATTTTTCTTTGTGGATTCTTCCTGGGTTTTTTTTTTTTCCATGCTCTGCATGGGGTTGCAGGATTATCTCTCCATCTGTAAATGAAAACCAGACACATGTGAGGGAAGGCTTGCTTATTAAGTATAAATGAGAATCACATATAAAATGAAATATAAGGACTTGGCCACAGAAACCGGGTTAGTCAGCAGAATACTTGGAAATCCTGTATCCAAGAAATAAGATTGATGCCTGAAGTTGTTTCCTGGGCGGTTGGCATCTTCCTGCTAACCTCTGCCTGGTTTGAGCACTGGTACTCTTGGTTTGGCAGATGATGGGAGATAACAAAAATGTTTGAACAGGATGCTGTCTGCTGTCAGATAACTCAAATTACTTAATATGAGAGCCATCTGTTGTCATTAGACCAGAGTGAAATTCAATTTGCTTTCCTGAACCCAGGCAGTGGTCGGTGTGTAGGAGGGGGAGGAGGATATTTATGACAGGTAATTAATTTTGACAGAGATTTAGAGTATTAAGCTTAGATTTTCTAAATGTTTGCCAAGACTGTATTAATGCATGAGAGGGCGCCTTTTACTCCAATGCCAGCATGCACTTCTGGATATTCCTACTTAAAGGAATGTTCTTGCACATTTTGTGTTAGGACATGAGAAAGCCTCCCCCACTCTGTCACTCCAGGCATCCCTAGAGACTTCAAAAACAAACACACACACACACACACACACACACACACACATATATATATATGCAACATTTTTATTCACTTAGCTATAGATTGGTGCCTGTCTGTCACCTCATTTTTACCAACTAAATTATGGAGCTTGGCTCCATCTCAGAACTTTACAACTAGGCTTTACATTTAAGCTTATCCTCAATATTTTTGGAGAAATGCCACTTTTTGCCTTAGAGATCCATATGTTGGTTAAGCAGATGGCTTAGTGATCTGGCAAATGTAAGTTATATATTATTTTCCAAGAACCTAGTTGCAAAGAATGGGCGGGGCATACATTGATGCTAACAAGTCCAGGTGCACATGAGTCTGGGTGAGCTTTGTGGTCCATTCTTGCCAAATGGTGTGGCTGCTTTTCTTTTCTTTTTTTTCCACGACAGGGTTTCTCTGTGGCTTTGGAGGCTGTCCTGGAACTAGCTCTTGTAGACCAGGCTGGCTTCAAACTCACAGATATCACCTGCGTCTGCCTCCCGAGTGCTGGGACTAAAGGCCTGTGCTACCACCGCCTGGCCTGCTTTTCTTTATATTTATGTGCTGCTGTGTCAATGGTTTGTAAATAGTAGACAGGGATGCTGCTGAGGACAAGCCCATCTCTTGCTTGTCTCTAGATTTCTAGTAGCTTCCAGCCCAGGGTCCTGTCCTAGCAGATGTTACATGGGCTTGCCTCTGTGTGTGTGTGTGTGCATGTATACATGTGTGTATCTGTGCATATGCTTTCGTGTGCGTGTGTGTGTGCACACGTGCGCACATGTGTCTGTGTGCACATGTGTGTGTGTGTGCCCATTCTCCAGACGAATACTTGACTATACGTAACAAAGGGAGAACAGAGACTGGGAGTCCAAGGAGCTTTCTTAAGAATTTGTGATCTGAGGTGAGACAAGATAAAAAGCAATATATATGTGTATATACATACATACATGCATGCATACACACATATATCTTGTGTTCTGGACTGCTTTATAGGCACAGGTCAAATATTAACATGGTGGGAGTGCTCACACTTCCTTACCTTCACTGTCAGTCATCATCACATTTGCCCTAGCCTTACCTCCCATGAACACAGTATCCATTTATCACTTTCATTATTCAAAGCCCAACACACGGTCATACTTGTCTGCTTTGGTTTTCCTTGCATCTAAATTCACCACTGCTTCCTCTGATTTCTTCTTTTAATCTCAGTTTTCTCCACACACACACACACACACACACACACACACACACACACACACGCATATGCACACTCCAGCACATACACACACACACACACTTGGCAGTCTCTTACTGTCTTCCCTGAACTGGATTGTGGATAATGTATTTGTCATTGTTACTGTAATATGTACATTGAATCCAGCCCCCATGTGAATTCATTGTGGTGATTCTGCTAATTCTCTCTTTAAATTACAAAACTGGTCTTCCTTTTTCTATGGAGTCCTATGAGAATTTCAAGTAAAATGACAGTGTTATGTAAAATCATGGTGTGGAGGACTGGGAGAAGAAGACGGAGCTTGGATACTGACCAAGGTAGTTGGGACAATTTATAAGTGCCTAATAAATAGAAGTGCTATTTTAAAACCCCAGGTTTGGACATACTCCTAAAGGATGCTGTACGTGTGTCCAGCAAGTGAGGTATGGGAACAGAGCCACCTGTTGACCACCTGGCTTGCTTCTGTAGCTGGATGAAAGCCAATGTTACTAGAGTTAGATTTCCTAATACCTTCTCTCACTATAGTAGTAGGTATGTTATGAAAATTATGCCTTCTTTAATGAACTTTCTCTGCAATCTAACTTTGTAGAAAAGGCAATATGTAATCCTTGTAACCTACACACTGGCTTTTTAAAGATTTATTTATTTTACTTTATGTGTATGAATGTTTTGCCTATTTGTACATATTTGTACATTTGCATCACGTGTGTTCCTGGTGCATATGCAGGTCAGAAGAGGGCATTTGATTCTATGGAACTGAAGTTAGGATGATTATAGACCACTATAACCTGGGTCCTTTGCAAGAACAACAAGTGTTCTAAACTGGTGAGCCATCTCTCCAGCCCCTCTAAACTAGACACACTGCAAACATCACAAACTCACTGACCCCCACCTAGAATTTCCTCCACAGTGCTACATGTCTTTTCTGGCTTGGAAGTGAGGTAGTATTGTCAGGGGCACTAGCAAGGCCACGCAGTGCAGCACGAAGTTGGTAGTTTCTGACCTCCCCCTGGAAACCACTTGACTTTTAAAGTCCTCTGTAGAAAAGGCATTGAGGTGTTGTTTGGGTAATTCAATCTGAAGTGACCCACTAACAGGGCAGAGT